ATACAAGATTATTTTTCCTCCCCATCAAACAGGTTTTCTATAATAACTAGGGATATATGACTACATTAAACAAGTGATTTTAATTAACAACAAACTAAAAAGGTCAAAGTTAAACATCTTCAAACATTGTTAAATGTTTTACGGAAACCACCAAAACTGCTGATCACATTCTTCAGTGCCTCCAACAGCATTTTAAAAGCTGCTGAAATGTGTGGCACTTTGCAGCCTTGCACAACACTGTTCACACGCACAATGTCAGATTAGTTCACCAAGTGTGGTTAAGTGAACCGTGCTAGCATCAGCATGCCTCTTTCCTTGCAGGTTAGCTGCCACACACTTCTGTTGAAGTTGGGCTATGCCAGATTAAACTACATACAACAATTTAGATCAAAATAACACGCCAGTGTACTAGTTTGTGCATCTGTTCTTCCACATTACTCATTTACAAATCCCAATAGCAGAGTCACAGGTGGCAGGTGACTACCCAGGAGCCCAGACTCATACATACAAACCATTAGTTAATCCAACAAGTATTTCTGAATCTAACCAACAACACCACCACCATTACTGAAGTGTCTAGCCAACAAGCTCACTTCCCTAATAATTAAAGGCATACATTTCAGTCTTGATTAACTGAAACATGATCTGCGGTCTGCTTGTAGTTGTTGTCAGTGTTTTCACTTCTCAAATATCAGCTTCTGGAATTTGCAACATAAAAGTAGTTTCATGCTGTAGAGGTTTACACATCCACAGAAGCAAAAGATCCTATTTTTGATTCCAGGGGTAGACAAATCCCCTGGGGCTGCATCAGGAAGGTCACCTGGTGCTAAAAACTCAAACATGTGGAGCTACTTGCTGGCACGACCCCCTGTGAATAACAAAGCAGCTAAAAAGTAGCTTTAAAAGAAACAAAGCACAACAACAGTGTATAGACACTCAAAAATCCCCATCATGACTGTTTCTACCTTCCAGCCAGTTAATCCTGCAGTGAAATGAACGCACCTTTGGATTACATCACTGTCAATTCACCACCCGTCACCGAAATGGAAAACTAATAACATTCACAGCATGGAGTGCAGACACTTCATAAGAGTGTCTTTCAGAACAGGTAATGTCTGGCCTGTAACTGGCCACGGAGCAGTCAGCTGAACTGTGCCAAGTCCTTGACAGTCTAAACCCAGCCGCCACAAACTGGCTGGAACCGTCTCAGAGCAATATGAGAGAGAGGTGGGGAGGTAGCATTTAAAAACAAAACAAAAAAGGCAAGAGCTGACTATCTCTACACCTACCACACACCAGTGTGTGTGTGTGTGTGTGTGAGTGGGCGTTAGCTACAGAAAAAAGGGCTCGGACTTTAGCACCATGTCACAGGCAGTAGTCACAAGGTGCGGATTAACGGGTGGGCAAAGCTTCAAACAGCCCCAGCATTTCAATCCCACGCTCCCCCTTTTATAGAAAACTTATTTTGAATGAAACAAGACTCTGTACTCTCAGCTGCTTTATATAATACATTCAAATATTAAATAAATTGAGTGACAGCTTTTTCCATCTTCAGCCTGTCTCAAGTCAACCAGCCTGATATGTACTATCAACCACACCGCCACTACACAACAAGTGTGTCAACCCATGGAACAGCTGCAATGGCACTCAAAGCAGCCTGGACTTTGTTTGCGCCTGTGTGTTGGTGTGTGATGGCCAAGATTATCTGTGATACCTTTAATTACCACCACTGAGTCCGACAGAAAAGAGAGTGGCATGGCTACAATCTGACAACTGAAGCCTGGACAAAAGTCGGGCAGGCTTCTAAGGTTTTTTCCCCCCATCAGCTCCTAATCCTCCAGAAATGAAAAGGACAGATAAGTGGAGAGACGGGGCAGCTAGCATGTGCTTTTCACCTGTGAAACCTGACTGAAAAGGAGGAGAGCAGACTAAGAGACTGAAAACAAATAAGAAAAAAAAAAAAAAAAAA